CAGCTCTCCACACTCGTGGCTTACTCTAGGGTGTTGGTGACAGAGAAGAGCCATTTCCACTGTATAAATGAGTCTTTTTCTTTACTTTTCCCCCACTCATGTGCGGTCAGCTTGTCTAAGTACACATATGAGACACTTGGTCATGGACTGCAGTTCGGAGGCTTTCAAGCGCCTTTCCCCGTTCTAACAGCTGATGTTTCTGATCCATCACAGAACCACAGACCGACGGAAGAGCCCAGCTCTCTGCGGGGTCTGGGCCAGGAAGCCGAGCTGTTGGGGCAGCAGACTGCGCTCCCCAAGTGGCCGCTTTTCGACCTGACGGTGATCGATCAGCTCTTCAAGGAGATGTCCTGTTGCCTGCTCGACTTGAAGGCGCTGTGCAGTGTCCTCAATGAGCGGGCCCAGGGCAAGGAGCCCAATCTCTCCTTACTGCTGGGGATCAGGTGTAAGTGCTTGGACTGGGCCTTGCTTCGGAGCTTACCAAGTAGAGGCTCTGCTTGCCTTTCCCTGGGTGCTGTGTTCCCGCCCTCCCTGGAGCTGTGGCTTTAGGTGTTGCTGGGGTCCCCTGCTCCCTGTGCTTACAGAAACGACTGGGGCCGCAGCTGACTGGGGTGCTGCAGGGCAGAGTCCTTGGTTCATTCTGAGGCTGCCTGGGTGGGGTTGGAAGGGGCTTCCTGGCTGCTTGTCTAGAAGTGGTGGCATTCCCGTTTGTTTCCGAGTGGTGGTTGTGTAGATTAACACATTCTTGCCCACTCGAACCTTTGGTAGTGCATGCACAGCTGTCCCGACGGATGGCCTGTGCCTGAGGGCCTGTCCCATGCCTCGCGGTGGGACAGTCGTTCGTGGACCACCTGGGGTTCCAGCCGCCTGGCAGTCCAGGTGGCGCTGGTGAAGTAGCTGCAGGATGCTTGCTGGCTCTCATTCCTGTGAGGGCGATGCTTTCACGGGCCTAGCTCAGAGCCACTCCTGTTGCACAGGCCCGGGCATTGTCCCTTCCCACGTGCGCCCACAGTGGAGGCCAGCGTGAGCCCTCCGTGCCCCTCACAGGGTGTCCCTCGCCACCTGTGGCCCCAGGGTGGTAGGGCATTGGCGCGCAGGTCTCTGCAGTGGAGCAGACAGGGACTCGGGGAGAGGTGACCGCTGGTGAGCTTGTGGGTTTGGAACAGGGCTGGCTCTGCTGCCGTCCCCTCGGAGAGATCCTGTTAGCTGGCAAGTCCAGTGCCACTCTTGCTCCTAGCATTCAGTCAGCCAAGGCCTGTTTTCCGTGTCAGCCGGACTGTGCCTTCCACTGTGCAGGTGTGTGCACATGCGCGTGGATGTGGACGCCGCCAAATGCTAAGAACATCCGTGCTGGGACTGCAGCGGGGCCGGCCTGGACAGACTGAGCAGAGTGCTGTGATGCGGCTGGCATTGCCGCCAGCCTGGGGGCAGTCGGGGGAGGCTCCGTGCATCGCCGTGCTGTGGGGCTCCCAGCGCAGAGCGGGGTGTTTGCCTGTGAGTCCTGCCCTGCTCGAGGGCCAGAGCCGCCCAGCCGAGCCTGTTTGCCCGCTTAGCCGCGTCCTGCACTGCCATTGGTGGGTGGCGCAGCGTCCTCGTGCTGACAGCAGCCTCTGCACCGCAGTCGCCACTTCCCGCCAGTCCCTGAGCTCTGAGGAGGTGCAGACCTTGCTTCTCAAGTGGGAGCGCAGAACCCCGTGTGTCCGTGACTCTGCTCTGCACCCGGTTTCCAGGGCAGCACTGTGGAGAGGCCCAGTCCCCACCATTACTCCCCGGGGTCCTGGGCGCTCCCCGAGTGCTCTCCCCGCCCGCTGCCTTCTCCTGTCCGGAGACGCCGCACTGACAGGTCTCCCGGTCTGTCTGCCCCGCCGGGAGGCCGCGCGCTCCTGAGTGGAGTCACGAGCGAGCCTGCGAGAGCTGGCGCTGTCAGGGCCGCGCCAACTGCGCAGCCCAGCACGGCTGCCTTTCCCCTAGACCTGCTCCTCAGGCGCGCCGCAGCCGTCTCCCACCCAGCCCAGGCTTCAGCTGGTCGCTCGCTGCCCTCTCCCGGTCAGCACCCTTCAGCCCCGGCCATCCTCGTCAGACTGCTGCCCTTAGCTCACAGGCGGAGCCTTTGCCTGGGCTGACATCTCTGTCACCAGGCCCGTCCTTCCTCGAAGCCGGTTCCCATGTCGTTGCCAGCGGGACCTGGTTTCCTAATAGCGACCTCTCCTGTGGCACAGGTCGGTAGCACCTGGCTGCCTGCCGTCGCTCTTGAGCATTTTAGATTCCATCAGCTCTTTTGTTTTCTGCCTCTGTGCCTTCATTCATTCCGCCCTCTTGTCCCACCCGGTGAACCAGGGCCTGTTGCTTCCTCAGTGAGGCCTGATCACTTCCCTGTGGGCACCAGCAGGTCCCCTGCAACACTCACTGGAAATTGTGCATAGAGCACTGAAAACAAGCCACCCGGCTCAGCACCCCGCTGACTCCTGAGTCATGGAGAACTCCAGAGTTCCCATGCATGTTTATTAGAGTATCGGCTGCCCGACGGATGGCCCCTGCATCTCCCACGCTGACTGGAGGCAGAAGGAGAGACCCTTCCCAGCCACTGCCAAGGCTTGCTTTGCTGAGGACTTCTGGGAAGTCATGGAGAGCTGGTTCCCCTCAGGCGTTCAGACCCTGGCAGCAGCTGCTGGCTCCATCCCCTGTTGGGAACAGTGGAGCCCCAGCATCCTCTCTGTGTATTTTGAAAACTAGTATTTGCATGCCAGTTAACTCACTTTGGGATCATAAAAATTAAAATAATTCCTCTTGCTATACAAAGAATTTTCAGATTTTGTCAAGTGGAAAGAACTGAGGGCTCTGGTTGAGCTTGAAAGAGACATTGTAGGCCATTCCTTTCACTTTGAATATTGCCACCCAGGACCCTGTTGAATTTGTGGGCCTCATTATGAATTTTGTACATTTTAGCTAGCCAAATTTGTAAAGGACCAAGTAGGTAAGATCTACAGTATTTCATATCAGATGATGCATCATTTAATCTGAGCCTCACTAGTATTCAATATGTAGCGTTACATCTCCATGATGACTAAGGTGAAAACCCTAAAATGGCTTTGTTCAAGGAAAAATGTCAGACAGTCTCTGTGCTTTGTTCACACAGCCATGAACTGTTCAGGTGAAGATGTGGAGAATGACCACAGCCCAGAGACCCTCAGTAGGAAGCTGTCCGATGTGTGCCAGCTGCGGAGGGACATCGATGAGCTGAGGACTACAATATCTGACCGCTATGCTCAGGACATGGGGGACAGCTGCGTCACCCAGTGACAGTGTGGGTCCTGCAGCAGAGACCGGCGTCCCGCACTGCTGCCTGCAGTTCTTCATGGTTCCTTAGGAGTTACAACAGGAAGCTGCAAGAAACACGAGGCTACACATAGGGATTTCTGTGGATTTGTCTCATTGAGGGGAAGGGGAATGTGAGGAGGTTCTGAGGGCTTTTTTAATCAGGCAAAAAATTCAAATTACCATTTGAAAGGTGTGGTACAGTCTACAAGAAAACATCTGTCTGCTGAAAGTGCTGATTACAGGGCCGAGCTGTGGAGGGTGCCCTTCAGAAAGGGTAGCATTCGTCTACTCCTGTAGTTCTGTCTTACGTGTGCACATATGCGGGGATCTTATTGTGTGTGTATGTTTTATTTACAAAATGTCTAAGGACTTCAGGCTCCCAGCCCAGAGCTTCTGAGAAAGGCACACATGTCTGCTCTGCCCTCTCGCCATGTTCGGGGATTTCCCAGGGCTGGCCACTGAGTTCTGACAGCGGGCAGGTGCTGCAGCAGGAGGAAGCAGCCACATCGTGTCTCAGCAGTCACGGAGCCGAGGCTTTGGCTTGGTAGCTTTTGGTACTGTAGGTAATTTATGCGTTACCAGAAGGCTTTCCATAATTTGAAGTAATTTTAGCATTCCCCTTAATATTTCCAATTTTTATTTGTTTGTTAGGGGTATCATTGTGAACAGAGGCAGCTGTGTAATTAGTGCAAGCCTTCTGAGGCCAAGATCACCGTTTTCAAACCAGACTGATGGTGACTTTGGAACAGTAGCTTATTTGTTTACCCACGTCTGTGTTTAGTTCAACAGCTTCGTACCTGTTTTGAAATTGACAATGCTTTGGGGGAAGCCCGTCCCCGTTCCTGTCTCTGGACTAACCCTAGCACAGAACGGAGCAGGCGGGGCTGAGATCTTCCGCCCGCCTGGTGTGCGGTGCCCGCACTGACGGGGGCTGTGTCGCCTCGTGGAAGCGCAGCCACGCTGTCCTGAGCTGCGCAGGGTGCCGGGCGCCGGGCCGCTGCCCCGGAGCTGGGCTGCGGGCACACGCGCTCCCACGGCAGCGTGGCCGGTGCGTCGGTGTTGGTTGTGCCTTGTGGACGCCCTCGTGGCAAGGCTCTGCCCTCCACGTGGCGGTGTGGCTTTGAGGTTGGTTCAGGCGGCGGCCAGGTGGGGACGGAGCTGTGGGTCGTGCAGGACAGTGCTGCCCTCTTTCTCGCTGGGCGGTGCAGGCGCGTGCGGTGGGCCTGCTTCCCTCAGCTCTGAGACTCAGTGCTGCAGCGATCCCGCACCCGAGGCCCCAGCCCGGCGGGACTGTCGCGGGCAGAGCATGGCTGTGCTCTGTGCTCGCTGAGTTTTCCATGGCAGTGCTTAAAGACCAGCAGAGTGCGAATGAGCCCCGAGAGCTGGGTGCAGAGGAGCCTGCCTCTCCGAGGTGCATGTGTGAGGCTGCCCTGTGCAGGAAGTAGACTGCGCCCCTGCCCCCCAGCACCGGGCGGCAGAAACACTGCAGTCTCGCGGCCGCGTCCTCGCCCTGCCGGGGTTTCAGAAATGAGCGCACCCTGAAGAATAGGACTGAGGAGCGGACTCTATCCGCTTTGGGTCGGTTCTTCCTTAAACGTCTCCTAGGGTGTTAGTTTAGATTTTTGCAGTGGTTGTGTTTTTTAAATGAAGTGGTGGTCATTTGTTTTCATCTATTTTGGATACAGTTTTGTAGCTTAGCTGGGATAAAATTTTTTTTTGCAATAAGTCTTCTAAAAATTACAGAATTTAATTCCCATATTGAGATAAAGTCTGTAGGACTTCGTGGGAAATGAACAAACCGCCGCTGCTCACTGCAGTTCCAGACTGCGCTGAGGAGCCAAGGCGCTGGCTGGGCTGTGGTGGGCGCGAGCCCCGCAGAGCCCCGGCTGTTGGCCCTGGCGGTGAGTATACAGCCCTGAGGGCGTTTGCAGAGGGTGCCGCTGTGTTACTGTCAGTGTTTATTCTTCGTTTTGATTTGTCAGCAACGGCCTTCCCTGAGCCCCCGACTTGTGTTAAAATGGTCGCAGTGTTGCTGTCGCCCTGGAGACAGAGTCCACGCCTCGGGCGGCAGCTGTTACACCGCGAGGTGCGGCCGCCCGCGTTACCGACCAGGAGTCTGGGAGCCTGGGCACACCCTCCGCTCAGGCCTCTCTTCCTTCTGCTCCTGGCTGCGGAGGTCACCCTCCCGGAAGCGCCCCTCCGTGCCAGCATGGTCGCTGGCCGAGGGCTCCCAGTTGGACTCAGGCCGACTCAGTCACTTAGAGCCCGTGACAAGGGGCAGTTGTCTCAGCGGAGACCCGGGTCTCAGGTGCAGGCGAGCAGAACCGACCGCAGGCCCGGGCGCCGTCATTCCCTTCAGTCAGGAGAGCAGGGTGAGCTCATGGTTACACTGTTGATAAATTCTCCGTGGCTCTGATTTTAAAAAGTGTAAGTATTGACTAGGAGACGCCTGAATTTATCTTTTTAAAGTGTGGGGCCCCTTTTGAATTTGAAATAGGATTCACCGTTCAGTGTTAGTGGCGTTATACCCTAGTGAAGTTTGTTCTGGTGTGGCAGTGTGTGACGCTGCATCGGACCTCTTTAAGTAGCTTGCTGGAGACAATCTCAGGCTGGAAGGCGTTCCCCAGACGAGTGCTGTGCGTCCGGCCTGCTGACGAGCTTGGAGGGTGGTGTGCTTCGGGAGACGGGCAGCGCCCCAGAGGCTGTGGAAGGACTGCTCTGTGGAGGCCCTCAGGCCCCGCAGCAGCAAAGCCCGGGCACCGTCCCTGGGGGCGCCTCCATCTGCTGTCACCTGCCCTTCCGCGCTCAGGCGCCCGTAGAGAGTGTGGCCCTGACCAGCACCTCTCACGGCCCAGCTCGGAGCGTCCATTTGTGAGAATTCTCTTCAGTGTTCAAAGGGAAACTTTTTATTGTGTATAAAGAGTAAAATTTCCAGCTTTGCCCCAAAATGCCATCAGTGGTGTTTGCCACATGATTATGCCATACATTTAATCATGAAGGGAAAGTATTTTGGGATTTTTCTTATTTCAGAGAAATATTGAATATGACAGGAAGTAGTTTCGGATCAGGAAGTCTTAACACCAGGCTGCAGCTGCGTGCAGAGAACCTTTCGTGCCTTTTGCCTGCAGTAACCTTTCGTTCCGCTGCAGAGGAGCTCAGACTGCTGCATCTCATTCCTCCGCCCACAGCCCTGAGCAGTGCTGTCACGGGCCCGCGGCAGGGGTCAGACGCAGGTCTAGGGGCTGCTTGGGAATGTGTCCAAGTGTGTATATGTGTGGATAAGTGTGCACATACAGATAATATATAAGTTATTTAAATGTGTAAGCGTGAACTGGCATCAGGGTGTGATGCCAGAAGCAGTAAGGTGCTCGGTGGCCACGGAGAAGCAGAGTGCAGTCGGCCCTGCGGCTGGTGCTCCGCATCCAGGTTCAGCTTCCGAGCTGTCCACGATACCTCATGTGTGAATACAGTGTCCGTGACCTAAATGAGATGCAGTCATCGTGAAGGGGAACGTGAGCCGCTGGCTGGCTTATGCCTCTGCCCTGTCGTTTTTGCCTCCTTTTTTTGTAAAGGGGTTGTTTTTGTTTTGTAATAGAGTTTACAGCTAGAATTTTGAATGCCAAAGTTCTATTTATTAAGAAAAATGTTTTCAATGTTAATGCCTAGTATTTTTCCACTGGACTATTGTTTGTTGATATTGCAATTTGTATTTACAGAGAAATAAATTTTTTATAGAAAGACTTATGTCTTCCTGGTGCCTACTGTTAACATAAGAGTCTATTTAAAATTCTGGGGTCTCTCCTGCACCCCTAATGAATATACACTGACCTGACTTTAGGTGAAAGTCTTCTGTAAATACTCACGGGAATCTTGGCCTCCAGTGAGGAGACTTCTGCATCTCAGCCTGTCTCACAGTGTGTTTTCAGTCACAGAAGAGCTTTTCTCAGGCCTTCCCGTGAAGAGTGTGAGGACTTCCCGACGGCAGGTGCCACATGTACAGAGTCATGCCTGTGTGAATTTTAGCTCACAGCGCCGGGAGCCCCTCGCGAAGTTTGTAAATCTATATTAAAACCAGAAGTCATCTGCCTGGTCTTGCAGCAGTTTCCCATGTGGCCAAGAGTTTGGGCGAATGAGCCAGTGTTCCTTTGCTGTGACAGAATACCCGAGAGAAGCACCTCAGGGGAGGGTTATTCGGGCTCTCAGTTTCTGGGCCTCAGGCCATGGCCCTCTGGCTCCATGATTTGGGGCTGTGCTGATGGACAGCAAGGGGACGTGGTGGCTCAGCATGGGACGTAGAGGAAGGCCGGGCGTAGGCCGTGTCGCTGAGGGCCCGGCGCATGTCAGCCGTCAGCCTCCTCTCGTCCCTACCTCCGGGAAGCCACTCGGCTGTGGGCCAGCCGCCACCTCTGCACGCTGCTGCACAGTGTGGGCTGGGGAAGGGCAGATCCCGGGTCTAGCATTAAAGGGAAACAGAGCTTAAATGGAGCGTGAATGCAGGCGCGTCTGACTTGTAAGTGAGAATGCTCACATGGACGGGTCTGGAGAAAGATGATCCAAGCGGTGCAGCTGCAGCCCTTCCAGACCAGGAAGCAAGGAAATCCCTTTGTTCATTGCTCCACTGTCCATTTGGTCAGGAGTTATCAGAATCTGCAGTGATCAAAACAACACCAGAGATGCCTTCTGTATCCTCGTCACCCAGCGTTGAGGCACTGGCCAGGTAGAAGGACCTTGTGTGTCGTCCCATTTGTCCCAACTGTCCTGGACTGAGTGCCACTGCTGTCCCCGCCCGCAGCAGTCCAAGGTGAGGTGGGAGAGCCACGTGCCTTGGCGAAGCTGGGGACTCAGGGAGCAGCGCTGGGGCCCGAGCAGGCTGTCACACCCTCCTGTCACCTCCTCCTCCCAAACCCCCCTTCCATGGCGTCAGTGTCCTGGGAGCTGCGCCTTCATCCGGGAGCCTTTTCCAGTGACTGCGTCTTTGCAGGCCCCATGTGTGCGGGGTTCCTCTGCCTCACTAATGCACGCTCACAAGTCTGCTGACGCAATGCACATCTCACGGGGACACTCGCAGCCACGAGTGGGCTGACAGCAAGGTGCTGGCCGGACGCTGTGCCTGGTGGAGAGAATCTTTTTGCTTTTGCCAGCTTCTCCAGGCTCTCACGTTCCTCCACTTGGGGCTCCATTTTCCATCTTCAAAGCCGAGGTGCTAGGCCGAGTCCCTCTACCATTTCCTGGGTGTCTGCCTGTGCCTGTCCATTTTAGGAGCCCTGTGATTACCCCAGAGAGCCCAGGGTGATCTTCGCCTCCCTGACTGGCAGTCAGCTTTCCACTGCTGTAACAGACAGTGGCCTTGGTTCATGAATGCTCTTGTTTGAAACAACTTGGTTCACAAACGGAAGCATTGGGCAAAATTTTGTTTTTGTTTGGAAACTGCGCTGGGTGACAAGCTGAACCGCGGCTGTCTTTCCCAAAATCATAGGACAAGTTAAGTTCACGAATGGAGGCCCCGCTGTGCCTAAGACAGTTAGAGAGGCAGTTTATTTGGACTCACAGTTGTGGGCTTTCGATCCAGGATAGATCTGGGGTGCTGCCCCTCCAAAGCACATGTCCACCCGCCTCCAAGGTCTCCCATGCCCAGTGGCAGCAAGCCTCGGCACAGGTCTTCGAGGGGTGCTTCAGTGGCAAGGTCAGCTCTGCCTCAGCTTGACCTGTGACCTGATAGCATCCTAGGTTCCAGATGTCTCTGGGCCTTGCTCCATCTTTGCACTAGCACAATCAGCTCTTGGAAAGTTTGAGACCTGTCTTGAGCACTTCATTCCCCCTTTCCTCACACCATCTAACAGAAACCCAAATTACTATAAATCCGAAGTTTGTCGTTGGAGGATTTTTAAACAATTGAATTAGAGCCTGTAAACTATCATTGATGATTAGAGTATTTACCTCACTCAAGACTCGAGAGAGTCTCTAGGGAAAAAAGCATTTACGTCTTTGCAGAGAATTTAATTTTTATAACATTTGCCACTTGTCAGTGGAATGTACCGCAGTCTAGACTTGTCTCCTTTCTCATGGGTACACGCGGGTTAAACATTTCTAGCCTAAAGTGCCGACAGGCGATGTGCAAAGCCCTGCCAACAGTTCACGCCACTCCGGGAGGGGTCCCGCGTGGGTGAACCAGGGCTCCTTCGGCCCCCCAGTCAGGTGAGGACAGCTGTAAACCCCCTGCTACAGAAAGTGCTAAGCAAATGAACAGGATCAGGTGCTCACTCCCTTCGTGCCAGCCGCAACTCCCTCCCTCCACCTGCAGTTAAGCAGAAGAGAAGCGTGGTGGGGAGACCATATTATAAAAACTCGATGTGTAAATCATGCACTAACGCACGCACCTGTCCATAAACACGTACATTTCATTCTCTGCACAGTGGTACCCTAAATGCACTTTCAGCACCTTGTCCTTGAGTGTAAATCTGCTGTACATCTCCCAAGTTGGGCACCTGGACAGCGCAGAGCCACGGGCGTGCGTATCTGAGAAAGTGCACAGAGGCGCTGGGGACCTGGCGCAGCCTGGCCAGAGGGAGCAGCTGGAGGGTCCCTGCCTCGCCGTGGGACAGAAGGGGCTTAGAACAAAGACCCGGAGTCCCAGCTCCGGGCCCCCATCTTACTCCGACAAGGTAGCTCGCTGTCTACTTCTTTCCTTTCCTTTCCCCAATAAAATGGTTTTGCTTCCCCATTTCTCTTCCCTTTCCAATAAAGTGACTTTGTTTCTCCTAAACTTATATTTCTAATTCTGTAATTGATGTGGGGCAGACCACACAAGGAAAATGGACAGAATGCCCAGGCCTGGCCCCAGCAGATGGGCACAGGGCCCTGGGTCCGAGGGCTGAGGCCGCCGAAAAGATGTCTGCCTGGGCTTCGGGGCAGGGCCACAGCTCGGGGCCTGGATGCATCTTCTGATACCACTCGGTCCAGATCCCTCGGAGCCCGGCATGGAAGCGGGTGGGAGGGAGACGGGGCACCTGGCCTGGCCGAGGGCGGGCGGCGGTGCAGAGCGCACGGACAGGGCCAGGAGCAGTGGGGAGCTCGGGTGGGCAACGAGCACGCTGGGGAGCCGCGAGGAGGGAGGCCCGGGGCACTGCGGGAGGGAAGGTCCTGGGGGAGCGGGCACCGAGGCTCTTCCACACGGCTTAAACGGGACTTGAAAATCAGTGTCCCCTCAGCCGGAAAGCGCCGCATGGGACGGGGGAGAGGAAGGGCGCCTGGGTCCCTCCTGAGCAGGGTTTGTTGGTTTTCTGCCTGTTCTGTTACAGGGGATTGAACCTGGGGCCTCACACATTCAAGGCGAGCACTCCACCTCGTAGCTACCTCTTCGCCCTTTTAAAAAGTTGTATTTCGAGACGAGGTCTTGCTAAGTTGCCCAGACTGGCCTTGAACTCACTATCCTCCTGGCTCAGCCTCCCGAGTAGCCACTGTGTGTGTTTATAGCACTGAAAATGTTGAATTTTGTTGAATCTGCATTGAGACGAACGTGTATTTTTTTCTTCATCCTGTCAGTACACTTATTTGAATTTTATGTTTTGACCACCCTGGCTCTCCAGGAATAAACCTCCCTTGCCGTGTGTGATCCTTTTAGGTATGAGCTTGGTATACTGAGATTTTGTGGCAATCCCTGCAGGCTCTTTTTAGGACTTTCTCTCTCGTCCTTTGGCAGTGTTTTTCCTTTGTCTCTCTTTTTTCCTGCTGACACTGGATACAGCTCTTTGTCTGTGGCTTGATGTCTGTCTTTCATTTGCCTTGGAAAATTCTTAGCTACGGTTCCTTTACATATTGCTCGGTCTCACTTCCCTCTCGCTCTGTGGCCCCAGGCCATGCACCTCCTCTTCTTACCCCTGCTTTTGCTGCTCTTTTAATCTTATTCTCTTTATTTTGAATATTCTCTTCTGACATCTTCCGATTACTTATATCTTCTTAGTTGTAGCTAGTTATGTACAAACTCAGCCATTGTGTTCTTAATATTATTGTATCTTTTAGTTCCAGAATTTCCACCTGGCTCTTCCCTAAAATTTTCAGTTTCCTGCTGAGTCTCAATTTTGTCATTTATTTCTTGAGCATGTTAAGAATCAATACTTTTCAGCCCATCATCTCTCCCTCCGTTGGTCTGTTTCTACTGTCTTTCGTCTTTCACTTTTTATGAGCTGAGTTGGCTCATTGCAGGAACCAGCCTGCAGGCTGAGCTTGAGCCTGACAAAGGGGTGACAAGGATGAAAAATAAAGAGACACAGAGTCAGGTTAAAATCTGGCAGGCTCGTGTCTCCCTTCGACATAGAGCCCCAAGCGACCAACGCCCCTTGGCTGTGTTTTCTCAGACATGGCAGGGGCAGTTAGAGCTCCACAGGACTCGCCTGTCTCTGGCCCTCCATGGTCCTTGCCTGGTAAGCCACTGAACCTCGGTGTTCTGCTTTCCCTGCAGCGTGTCAGCACACTTGCGTGCCCTCTTCCTCCTCAGTGCTCCCCGAGGAGGCCAATTAGAGGCCTCATTCCTCCCATCTGATCTCCACATTGGATGCCTGGTTACTGTTCGTGGACATTGAGCAGTATACACGCCAATACCATAGGCATAACGTGAGGCCCTGGGTGCTCTCGCATTTCTCTAGATGATACTGGCGTTTGCTTATGGAAAGGCTGGGGGCGCTGGGAACCCAGTTTGCCTTCCCGGTTCAGGGTTCTGTTGATTTAGAGCAGGAGTCGGAGC